ATATTAGAATGATTTCTGAAGGATCACGTGACACTGAAGACTGGAGTAATGCTGAAAATTCAGCTTTGACACCACAGGAATAAATTACATTTTATCATTTATTAAATTGTTGTTTTAAATGATAAAATATATTTAATATTATAACCGTTTTTACTGTATTTTTAATTAAATAAATGCAGTCTTGATGACCATAAGTCACTTCTTTCAAAAATATTCTAAAGTCTTACCCAATCTTTTGAATGGTAGTGTATAAGTAATTATATATTGCATAAAGAAAATAACCTCTATTTTAGGACCGATAAAATTGAAAAACAAATGAAGAATGAGAATTTGGATGTTCCAAATGAATGTTGAAGTTAACGTTCTCATAGAGGTCTAGGGTCAGTGCTACTCTCACAGATGGTATCATGTCTATCTTAATTACTACTAAATCAAACAATCATTCAAAATGGGTTTCTGCAGGTTTCACAAAGTCAAATTTAAGACTTTTTAAGACCCCGCGGAAACCCTGCATGCCAGAAAACAGAATATTCACAATAGAAAAAAACAACAGCACTTGGACCTGATAAAAATGAACATTAATAAATGTATGCAATAGTATTTAAGATGAGAAAAGCACAGGTTTTGTGCTTTTATTTTATGAACATTGCTGTTGCAGTTTGGCTGTGTATTGTGTGATCTTGGCACATTGATGCATTGCACTTACCCACTGACTGGTGCTGGCTGCTCGTAAGATTGTGGACACAGACTGCACTTCCCTTTCCACATTCTGTGTCTGGAGACGAATCACAGATCTTCAAAGCGTAGCTCACATTGCTGTCCTGGTCGATGGCTTCCCATTTGTAACTTCACAGTCACACACACACAATTTCATTTGAACCCATTTCAAGAGATCAGAATGTATTTCAATTGCATGACATCATTGGATCATAAAACAAGCTGAATGAATGCATTTCTTTTGTCTCAGGTGAGACAAAGTGTCTGTTATGGTTTTGAGTAGGTCCAGACAGGTACCTTCATGCACCCAGGCTAAAGAAGGGCCATACACTGTATAAAAGCAGTGATCAGCAAACTAGATCATATTTAAACGCATGCATTTCTTTCTCAACAAGTGTTTATATGTTAACCATCACGGTTTGCCAGCAATGATCAGCATTAAAAGTGTTTGTTTATTTATTTAAGATCTCACCTGCACAGATCCTTGTACCATGGGCTGTCACCCGACTCCACTGCTGATGTGACATACTGAAGCAGTATGAAACTAGAAATAACAGTAGCGACGATTCCGCAAACACGAATACGACCCATATTTTACGCAAGGAAATAAATTAGTGTGCACAGTCCGACATGATACAGCAGTCCTTTCTGATTACTGATCACTACCCGTGTACAGGAACCACTCAGTCACATGACGGCATGACATGTGGTACAGGTCACGTGGTTCGCTCCGCTCGAATAAGTAGAATGACAACAACGTGGAAAGGATTGTCCAAAATGGGCGTGACTTAGCGGCACAGACATTTTTAAATAACATATGTAAGAGATTATTTAAAATACTGCGTCATTATAGAAAAATTAAACCCTGACCTGAATCATTACACTCAGTAGTCACTTTTTCTGCAACGTCTGTCAGTCGGCTTTACCAAATAAATAATTATATCGGTTTGTGTTGATAGGATTGTTTTGACATCTTATATTTTGCTAGGAAAATATCCATCGTAATTGTAGCCTATAACAAAACAACAAAAAGTGTAACAATGTTACATACAACTATAATTGTTATTATTAATCTTTGGTAAAAAAAAAAAAATCTGTTTAATTATCTAACCAATTTTACGTCTTCAAAGTGATCTCCCTTTCTATTTTATCATTTGTTTTTAAAGTCTATGATTTTACCCCCGCATTTGACCGGTGTTCATTTCAAACCCTGATTATATACAGAGAATGTCTAATAAGGGCTCAGTTATATATATATGATCAATGGATGATTTGGCTGTTTGAGCCGCCATGCGTCCCCTCGTGGACGATTTTTGAGTCGCATGAAACATTTAAAAATAAGTGATATGTGCCATCCAATATTTGCCAATGAGTCATCGTTGCAAAACAAGTGCATGTCCTGTTTAGCTAACTACACTATATTCCACAGAGAACAATAAAACATTCATAAAGCCAGTGATGTGTACATGCAGTCAAAAGAACCATTGATTGTATGGATGCACTGACTGTAATAATTATTAATAATTGTGTATTAACCATATCACAACAGTCAGGATGGCCGAGCGGTCTAAGGCGCTGCGTTCAAGCTGGGGAACAATAGTCCAACAAAGGTGGGGAAGAAGGGAAGAAAAGGGGGAAGGAAGAAAAAGAGAGGGGGAAGAAGAGAAAGAAAAAATGAAGAAAAGAAAGGCTGAAATTTGATGTTCAAAGATATACCTTCATTAGCATAGGTCTTATGATACATTTTCCGGTTTCTTCGTGTGTGAAAATCACGCATTTATATTACACTGTTTTCTATTGCAGGTGTTCACCAAGACCGGGGTTCGAATCCAGCTAAAGACAACTTTTTGTCATATGTATTATTTGAATAAATAATCAATATTTTTGAATGCATACTGTTCCAGAATAAATAATCAATATTTTTGAATGCATACTGTTCCAGTGTTAATAAAATATACATATTTAATTTGTTTGTTGTGTTTTTTGATATTCTATCATGAAAAATAATGTTATTTGCATTATTATGCAATGAAGAAAGATGCAAATCATTAAATAGTAACTAATATGAAGAATGTCTGTCACAAGAATAACAAAATGTACAAATTATCTTTTTAAATACAAATGTTATATTGGTGCAGTGTACTGATGAAATATTGTGTTATATGAAAGTAAATGAGCACATTCTGTTATAATAAAGTAAAAGAAAATAAGCTAATTTTTTAATGCATACTTTTCCAGTGTTAATAAAATATACATATGTAATTTGTTTGTGTTTTTTTTATATTCTTTTATAAAAATATATAATTGCCAATAAAAAGTGATATTATTTAGTAGTTGTTGTATTATTATTGATCTAATTAAGCATTTTTTTAGGTTACATTCAAACAAGAAACTTGCAAAACTGTTATTTGTAATGAACAAAATGCAACCCATTAAATAGTTACTAATATGCTGAAAATGTCAATCACAAGAATAACAAAATGTACAAATTATCTTTTTATATACAAATGTTATATTGTTGCAGTGTACTGATGAACTAGTGATATATGAAAGTCAAAAAGAAATCACTTGCCAATTTGTTTTTATTTTCCAATCATGCCAACAGAACAGTAATGAATATTAATATGTTAAATACTGGTAACATGTTTTAAAAATAAATAAATAAAATGAAAAGTTAAATAGGTTTTCAAAAACAAGAAATAAAAAGTTAAAATGTTAAATAACGTTAAAAAAAACAAAATTAAATAATATTCAACACAAGTATTAACTATTTAAACAACTGTTCACACTATATACATGATGCTATATACTGTACATGAAAATATATACATTATTTGGGAATGGTTCTGCGCATTTCCTCTAACCACACCTCTTTTGTAACAGTCTCAGTCTGTGGGCAGAACACCCTGCCCCTGTACTGGCTATGACCTGTTGCACTTGTTTTATATTGCCCACATTTTTTGCAAGTGTTGGCCGCAACTGTTCTCCTGTAGGGTCTCTTGGGCATGGCGTCTGGATGGGCAGCTGGTGCAGCGGGTAAGCGAGTGCCCTGTACAGCTGTTGGCTGTAACAGTGGCTGTATCATTTGCATCCCCTGGACCATTGGGATGCCCTGGATCATTTGAACTCCCTGGATCATTGGCACACCCTGAAACATTGGCACACCCTGGAAACCTGGTGCTGATGGTATGAGTATATTTGGGACCATCTGCAGTGATGCTCCAGGTGCTGATGGTGTCAGCAACATCTGACTCTGCGCTGGTGCCTTGGGTCTGAGAGGGGGTCGCCCAACAGAAGTCTGCCTCTGCTTTGCCTGACCAGCTGTGCTCTCTGGTAGCTTGTACTGGTGCTGCTCCCCTGGTTGTTCTGGCTCAGTCCGTAGACGTTTGGCAACCTGGAGAGGCTCTGGAGCTTCAGGGAGGGGCTGAGGCAACTGAATACCCTGAAGCAGCACAGACAGCTCCTGCTTTTTCTGTCTTCTGTTATACCACTGAATCAGGGTGTTCTGGTTAACCTCCACCAGCTGCATCGATGTTCCTCCCATCACCAAGCTGTTGCCCAGTACAAGCTGCCTTATCCTGCGATAGTCTTGCAGGATCAGAGACCATCTTGACAGGGCTCCCTTGCCTTTTCTTTTAGGGCTTGGGTGGACAGTGCAAAGTCTGATGAAGATGGTCTCCACCAGACGGCAACAGTCAGGCCACTGAGCAGGTGAGCTGCTTGCACCCAGCACACATCTGGTGGTGCTCTCGACACCAGGGTGAGTGGGCCTCTTCGGGACTTTGAAGCGTCCACTCAGCAGTCTCTTTCGGCATCGACTGTCATACACCACCCGTTCCTTGTCCCGGTCATCCAGGTTCTGCCAAAGAGCAATAATGGTGTTGGCTTCCTGGTTGGTCAGGCTGAGGGCTGTGTGGGCCCGGAGATCCACCAGATATTCTGCCAGCTGGTCCACATGTTGATAACCCGGGACATTTTGGTAGTCAACAGCCTATTAAAAAACACAAACACGCAATACAATTATTACATCACATCTGTCTAATGCATAATTCCATAACTGATTGTGTTATTTTCCTGTTTATCACCGTAAAGCACTGTATAGTACAAAGCAGAGAGCCCCATTCTTGACATTTTCTTAACATGTTCTTTACAAAGCACCAAATAAATAAAGATGACTTGACTTGATGTGTATTTGCAGCTTACAAATGAATTTAGGCTGTACTTTTACATTTAAAATATGTGGAAAGTCTGTATTTAAAGCACTGGATGTTAATTCATCATAATTATTCTAGTTAATTTGAAAGACATGCAAAGGACTGGTATTTACCGTCTCTTCTTCATCATCATCCTGACCAGCATCCTCTGGATCTGAGGGGAGAGTTGAAACAGATGTTTCAGAGGGAACAGGTGTGACGGCAGTCCCTGAGGGTCCAGGTGATGAAGGAGACTGTGTGAGGACAAGTTTGGGGTCAGGGACCAGTGAAGGGGATGTGGAGCCCAGTACAGGTGTGGCACTGCTGGTGACCAGGGTGGAAGAACCCAGTGTCAGTGTGGAAGAGGGCGGTGACAGAACAGCCTCCGGATCTGCTATTGTGTGATCCTCGCTGATGTCACAGAAGCCCTCATCTTCATCTCGCTCCTCCACACTGAGGTCCTCAATGAGCTCTGCTGTCTGCTCAGAGTCCGGATTCATGTCCTGCAGTGCCTGACCAGTCTGCTGGAACAGATACTGCACTCCAATGAGCTCACCTGAAATAAAAACAATAAACAAACAGAAATTAAATAGAATGTTGTGTATCATATTTGATACATTAGGCTTTTGTATTAGGCTAGCTCATATAGTGTGAGAATATAGAGCTCATCGTCAAGGAGAAAAAAAAAACCAGTTTTATTCAGAGGCCCAACACGTTTAATTATGGGGGCAAAACATGAAATGAAATGCAATACAATGGTGACTGAGAGAAAAGTCTGATGATAATTTTGATATTTACATGTAACATGGTTTTCTAATCAAGTGAACCCAAGCTGTCATTACATATTTATTACATATTACAGTCATTACATATTACTAACAATATAAAAGTTATTCTTACAATTACTTTATAAAAATCAGTAAAGGTTTCACAGTGAAAAGAAACGTGAAGCACGAGCTGAAGGTGGACACTTTTACAATAATATTAAAAGACTATAATCAATCAGACGACAGAGGCCATGTTTCCTGAAAAGTTTTGACCATGTTGATCATTTAGAGGCCTTTAGAAACTTGCATATCAATTATGATACAATCGACTCTATAGGATTAAATCTGACATATAGACGGAGGTTACACAGAAATTGCAAGTTGATAAAATAAAAAATATATACAATAATTCTCACCGGTGTAACATGCAGGGGGACAAAACGTGGGGACCACTTTCCTGCCAAACAGCTTTTCATAATTGCCGTTTACACAGTGAACAAGTTCTCCTGTGTAGCTGCGCAAAGCTGATGGCTCCGATGACAGGGAAGCAGCCTCCCGGTCCTGGTTCCACCGGTGTAGACCCTCCAGCAGATAAATCTGAAAGTTCAGACTGTTTGCACTGGTCCCTGTAAATAGACACAACAGTGTTTAGGGGGTGTTAAAGAAACATACAAAACACTTAATGCTCTTTCTTTACACATGCACAGTGTGTGTGACAAAGACAATACCTGGGATGAAACGGTTCAGGTGTAAATGAAAGGACTCGAGAGAAGTGGAGCCTCTGGCACATCTGTAGGTCTTCAGAAGAACGCCTCCCTTGTTTAGACTCCCTGTCTCTGTATAGAGCACAACACCAGGGGGGTCTTGAATGCATTTCACATGCTTCTTCTGGACATTCCAGATGTGCTCCATCCTTTCTCGGTCCAGGAGAGGAACACCCAGGGAGTCTTTGCCCTTGCTGCTCAGGAGCTCTGTGAGCAGCCGCTCAAGGAGAAGGATGGTAGTCTCCTCTCCACAGGTCCTCCTCCGGCAATGGAGTGCCAGCTCATCCCTGGTAAGATGCTTGTTGACATCTTCATCTGTCAGCGCAGGCCAACCCTGGGATAACAACAGCTCTCTCTTTGCTTTGCGAAGCATAGAAACATCAGCCGCATCCCACTCAAAAATGCACGCTGACAGCCGTGACATGAAGATGGGATACAGCTGATGGGCATCAGTTGTACACCCCACGGCAATCCTGCGCATAAAATGCCAGATGTCCAAGCGAATCATGAGATCAGGCCAACCTCTGAATCTGGTTTTCAGCTTGGTCTCACCCACATCAGTGCAGCAGCCACAGTCCACATACAAAACAGCAGGTGGATCCACACTAGCCTGCTGGTACCTTTTCACCAGACCATCGACCATCATGTCCAGTCCTGCTCCTTCCTGTGCTGTCAGCACACTCATGAGCACCTGACCAAACTCATTGCCAACTGAGGTAAGCCAGAGTCCCGTTCCCCTTGCCGTCCCAGCCAGCTTCTTAGTGATCTGCAGTAGATGACAGGAAGCATGCAATGTAATGAAACATCACACCATGTAGAATATGATACTCATGCTCTGATAATGATATAACAGTAAACACCATAAATGAACAAAAATCCCCTGCTAACCTTTTTAGTGGAATCCATTTTCAAGACTGAACCATACGTGGATGTTATCCTTGCATGGATTTCATCCAGTCTTGTCAGGATGTCTTGGCTGTACACGGTGAGCAGCCACTTGCAGCTTGGCACCACTGTAGGCTCTGGGGGTTCCTGGAATGGTATTTGCAACACCCCGGGTCGTTTGAGGAAGTCCACACATTGGGTGGTGTACCGGGCCATACGCTGGAGCCACTCCTCGCTGTGGTTCTCACGCAGCTGTTTGATGACCCGCGTGGGACTGTTGCCTAGGCCACGCTCACGCAGGAGCCGAATGACTCTCATATCACAGGCATACCTTAGGAAAAGCAAAATCCACACATTCATATATTTTACATGTTTGATTTGTAAAATATTTGCAAATATATGTGATGATGGTCTATCAACTGGATGTGGAATGAAAGTGTACTTACTTCCGCGTGAGGATGACCCGAAATTCAGAGCGATGACCCAGATCCAGCTGTTGCAGGACAGTCTGACTCCAGGACACATGCGAGGCTTTACATTTGGTACAGATGAGGGTTTCTGTGACCATGTTGTACATCCTATCGATGTCCAGAACCTGCCGTGCCCTTTTGTGCAGACCGCCTCCTGTTAGCTGATGCTGCCCGCAAGCAGAATTGGGACAGACAGCCTTGATCTTCCACAGCTTGTACGGCATCCACAGCAACAGAGCATGACAAAAAAATCTGTCTGGAGCTGGAGCCTGGTTATAAATAAGTGCTGGCTGTGGTGGGTAATACCAGAGCTGTAGGTTGTCTCGAAGCTCTGGTTTTCCCTTGGGCCCCATTTTAAAAAGCCTGCTGGCAATCCACCTGTGGTCCTCTGGCGGCAAGGTCTCCGACCACAAACGGTGCAGTCGAACTGCAGATGGAGCTTGCAATGACGCCCCGGAAGGAGCAGTCTGTGAAGGAAAAAGAAAAAAACATTTAGTCTAGCAGGTCATTTATTTAATTAGCGCTTTATCTATCCAAGTCTACCCTCACATAAAATAGAAAATATTGGATGTCAATTACGTACTTAAGGAAATTTGAATATAATTGGTACATTTGTTCCAAATGTTTTCAGAATTGTGTCAGCTGCTAGCGCTATTTTGTGCGACTCTAGTGAGTTGTGACAGTTAATATGCAAAATAAATTATTTTAGACCAATAGAATTTGAAATTGCGTACCGAGACAATACCGCAAGACTCAGGACTGGTCACATCTGCAGTGGTTCTGGGGACAGAGGCTGGAACTCCAGGATCTTGTGTCTGTAAAATCATGCAGTGAAATATAATAGATTTTGTATATATAACAAGAGAAACAGTCAAACATACCTGTCCAATAATTGTAACTCATCCTGGATGGAATTATACAATGCTGTTCAAAAGTCTGGGGTCAGTAAGTTTATTTTATGTTTTTGAAAGAAGATTAAAATACAGTCAAAAACAGTTATACTGGGAAATAATATTGCTGCTTATTTTAATGTATTTTCAAATGTATTTATTAATGTGTCATTGCTGAAAAAAAGTCTCAATTTACTGAACACACAAACTTTTGAACAGTACTGTACATAAAATCTATTTAATTCAAAGAGTATATAGTACTGTTATTACTTCATTATTGTAAGATTTCCTGGAATACAAGATATGTGTGCACAGGAGTGGAATGTGTATTCATAGAATGCAATGTGGATTATGCCAGTACTTACAGAGACAGTGGTGCTTGGTGTAGGGGCACTGGACACTGCTGTGCTGGGTTGGTCATCAACCTGAGATGGTCTCCTAGACACACTTAGATTTGGCTTTGCGGCAGAAATGTGGGACCCACCAAATCTTGGCTTGGTAAACTAAAATAGGGCAAAACAATTTCAACTAAATGACAAAATAAGCTGTAACAGCACAGTGGCAGAAAATATAATTACATTTTTGGTAAATGAGAAAATATCTGTTGTTTCAATATTTCATATAACTAAATTAACTGCTTTCTTGCTGTACATTTGTTCATATTACAACCCTCTGCTACTTATATAGATTGAAGCAAGCACAGTTAGAATAGAAAAATGAGTGGGAAGACATTGCTAGAATGTGAGTATTATTGTAATTCAACAGGTACCTTTTAAAAATGACATTGATTCAAAACTAGTTTGCACATAGCTTGTAAGATAAAGTGTTTATTAACAGTAATTAAGGTTATACTTGAAAGTAGATGCATGATGACTGAATTAATAATACATGTATTAATAAAAATGTTATTACCATTGACAAACTTGGTATTATCCTAGATGTCACAGATGCAGTAGGCCGTGGCTGGGGCTGGAGTCGAGGCTGAGGTTGACTCTGCTCCATGACCTCCTGTGCTGGTCCAGTAGCGGCAGACTGTTGCTCCACAACCATTGGTGCTTGTCCAGTAGAGACTGTGGCCTGCTTAAGACAACCAAAAAAGACATCAGCTTCAATCACTTTTGAACGAGAAACATTTATTCAGTAAATTATTATTATTATTATGTTTTAATACTTGCAACATCTTCACATTGTTACCTTTTGAGTGTGAAAACCACACGTGCACTTTGGGACCTCTCTGAACAAGGTCGTCTGGCCGCGAGACTGCATCGGACATTTTTCAATCTGTAAACATTATGACACATGTCATATACACAATACATGCATTTCAACTAAACCGGAATGGCAAACTAATCTACTGTCATTTTCCATGACGTGTGTCATATTTATTTTTATTCATGTTCTTTGAAGGGGAGATACAAACTGTAAAATTAGAGAGAAAGAGTGAGGAACATTTCACACGGTAACACTTTACTTGAAGGGGTGTGCATAAGACTGACATGACACCCTCATAATCATGAATATGAAGGAGGTTTTATGCATGTTTATGACAACTGCCATTAAGTGTCATTCGGTCAATTATGACATTTTTAATGCAAATATGACATTTTTTGAGATGTCTTTGTTATGACAACTTGACATTAACCAATACATCATAACTGGTCAGTGTCATAACAACTTGACAATACCAAGATAACATAATATGTCATAAACATGACATAGCAGATTAATTATCAAACTTAAGAAACCACTTAGCTTTATAGGTTAACATTACATTAAACTGTTATGTGGTTGGTCATGAGGCCATTATAACTTTGTCATGAATGTTTTTATTGACCTCAACTACAGTGGTACGAATTGAATTTGTCATTAAAATGTCATTTTTACATTCAAATGTCATTTTTATTCCTTACTGCCATGCAAAGGTGACAAAAGCACACTCACCTTTTGATACACGTCATGCCACTTTTTCTGTCGAGGAGCTGGCCTGTTACCCTCATTTGATGGCCAAACTCCTGTGCTGGCAAACTTTTTTAGCCTTGAAATCCAGTCAGCATCCGACATGGCTTTATGGGATTTTTTGCCCGACATTCTTTTATTTTTTGGGGGGGGGGGGGGGGGGGGGGCTAGGTAAGTTAAGGTTAAATCGTTTTGGACAAAACTAGTAATAATAAAAAGGTTTTCTTTAAAAAAGCACACACGACATATTCAAATATACAATTACATTATTCGTTCTTACCTGTTGTCCGAAAATAACGTTAAATTTACCGAAAATTTTGTTTCGCAGTCCTCCGTTCAAATTATGCAACCTGACCCCCCTGACAGTGATGCTCGACGTCTAACTGAACTTTTTTTACCTCTGACACGCCCCTGAGGATCATCACTTCGTACCGCTCCGTACACTTTCGGCTCAGTTCGGCAACTTGATTGACACTTGGCTATCTTCCTGACTTCACCTAGCGGTGATAAGCATAAACGTGCCGTCGAGATTTCTTTTTACTCTGATTGGTCAAATGTCGAAAATTATAAGAAAATCTTGTACTCTGATTGGTCAAATGTCGAAAATGATAAGAAAATGTCAAGAATGGCGCTCTCTGATTGGCTGCAAATGTTATAGCGCGTCTACGTGATTGGCTGTGGCGTTCAACATTGTTCAACATTATCCCCATATTGTCGGACTATCCTTCGGCAGCTGGCGTTCAGGTCGCAGTCTCCCCTGGAGGCGTGGGTTCGAATCCCACTTCTGACAACAAACTTTTTAACCAACATCAACATTATGCTTTTATTGTGTTTCAACAAAACTGGAAACATTACCATCTTCACAAAAAAAAAAAAAAACACAATGTTTTTACACAGTAAAATCAAACTGAGGTCAAATGTCAATCCTTTTAATAATAAAAAAAAGGTTTTCTGTTCAGATCTTAAAGCCATCATAGCAATCAAACTGATGGTATATTTCATCAGTCACACGTGTCCATTTAAAGTTACACAAGATCTGCCAAAAAAGCTGCAAATTCACTCCTCTAAACCTAGATTCTTTAATCAAAAATAATGTGATAGAGTTGCATGGTTAAAATGTTTTGATTTTAAGATCTTACTATGACTAATGTTTGAACAATACAACCTCATAAAGCAAAATGCTCTATTTTTCCAAAACAATTAAAGAACATCATAACTAGAAGGTTAAAAAACAAAAACAAAAAAAAAACAGCCTTTCCAAAACTGGATTATTCTTTGATACAATGCAGAGCGTAACCCGATAGCTTCTCGGTTCTGAAATAAACCAGTGGGAAAATTAAGTTCATCTACATACTAAACATACAGAGAATCAATCAAAATTTGTAATACTTACATGAGCCTTCTCACATCAGTGCACCTAAGAAATTAAAGAAAAAGACATAGGTTATTTATTAGGGCTTGGTATTGACACAAATTTCACAATTCGATTCGATTTCGATTGACAAGCTTGAAAATTCGTTTCGATTTCGATTCAATATTGATTATTTTGGATATCAGTACAATACATGGAAAATGTTCTCAAGGAAAACAAATCTATGGGAGTCAGTTGTAGCCTACTAGGCTTCATTAGCCTACTATAATATGGAAGGTAAAAATTAAACAAAATTGTATATCGCTGACTAACGAGTTTATGGTCACTGGATATGTTTCCGATTACCGATAAGTTGTACTCAGTTGTACTTATAACACACTTTCAGATGCTCATTCATGTGTATTTCACACTGTAATTGGTATTATTAAGGCGAAAGAGAAGATCATGTGCTTCTCTGGAGCAGAGCTATGCCAGAGCGATCTCACGCCACAACGCCAAAACTGTATTTATGTTTTTGAATTTCGTGAGAAAATGGACGTAATTTGAAATCTGAGACTTTGTTACATATCAATAGTAACAAAGCACAAAGATTATTGTGATTTATTGAATTGGATGCGCGCTACAATGTTTCATTCATTCATCAACTGAAAACAGGATGACTAGCCTAATCGATTCCTGGGATTAAAGAATCGATATCGGTTCATAAAAATGAGAATCGATTAAAGGAACACTCCGACTTTTGGGACTTTAGCCTATTTACCTTATCCCCCAGAGTTAGATAAGTCCATACATACCTTTTTCATCTCCGTGCGTGCTATAAGTCTGTTTGACGCACCCACCGCTAGCCTAGCTTAGCACAAAGACTGGATGTAAATGGTTGCAGCTAGCATACTAATCCAAATAAGTGACAAAATAACGGAAACATTTTCCTATTTACATGTTGTGATTTGTATAGTCACAGAGTGTACAAAAAACAAAGTCACATGAGACACAGACATATTTTAACCGTATAAATACTGGGAACTATATTCTCTGAAGGCGAAGCACTGCTACTTGGGCGGAGTGATAACCGCAGCACCTGAGACGTACCGTGGTAAGGAGCAGAGAGCGCGTCTCAGGTGCTGCGGTTATCACTCCGCCCAAGTAGCAGTGCTTCGCCTTCAGAGAATATAGTTCCCAGTATTTATACGGTTAAAATATGTCTGTCTCATGTGACTTTGTTTTTTGTACACTCTGTGACTATACAAATCACAACATGTAAATAGGAAAATGTTTGCGTTATTTTGTCACTTATTTGGATTAGTATGCTAGCTGCAACCATTTACATCCAGTCTTTGTGCTAAGCTAGGCTAGCGGTGGGTGCGTCAAACAGACTTATAGCACGCACGGAGATGAAAAAGGTATGTATGGACTTATCTAACTCTGGGGGATAAGGTGAATAGGCTAAAGTCCCAAAAAGTCGGAGTGTTCCTTTAAAGTCGAGAAATCTGTATTTTTTACCCAGCCCTATTATTTATAGGTCTTTAGAAAACACTACCAGTTAAAAGTCTGGACAGTAGACACAATTTTCTGATTTTATATTATATAATCTTTTAATCTAAAGTCTTAGATTTATTTTCAGAGGATATTTCCTTGACTTATTTTCTGAATATTTTAACCCATATGACCACAGGAATCTAAAGAGATTTTTGTTTTACCAACAATGGCCAGTAGGTGGAACTATCACCAAACTTCACAGGTATACTTAGCTCAAAGTGCCACTAACACCTACTGAGCTTTGTTTATGTCCAAGCATTGCAGAACTACAAGCTAAATGTTTTTTTGTAGAGCAGACAATATGGAATAAAAGATATTTACATTTTTTTGTTGTTGAAATAATCAATTAGTTAAAAAAAAAAAAACTTACAGTAGCTGTCAAAAGTTTAGAATAATTATTTTTTATGTTTTCTAAAGAAGTGTTCACCAAGGCTGCATTTATTGAATGAATGCAAAATATCATTAAAAATTAAAATAACTGTTTTCTATTTGAATACATTTTCAAATGTAATTTATTCCTGTGATGTCAAAGCTGAATTTTCAATCATTACTCCAGTCTTCAGTCACATGATCCTTCAGAAATGCTTTCAAATTTTTTTTTTTAAATCTGACCAGAAATATTTGAATGTTATCATTGTTTCCACAAAAATGTTAAGCAACAAAAACTTTTCATTGATAGTTCATTGATAATAATTATTAATGTTTCTTGAGCAGCAAATCATCATATTAGAATTATTTCTGAAGGATCATGTGACACTGAAGACTGGAGTAATGATGCTGAAAAATTCAGCTTTGCATGACAGGAATAAATTAAATTTTTAAATGTATTAAAATAGAAAACAATTATTTCAAATAATAATTTACAAAGTTATTGTTTTTACTGTATTTTTGACGAAACAAACGCAGCCTTGGTGAACATAAGAGACTTCTTTCAAAAACATTAAAACAATGTAATGTTTCCAGACTTTTGACAAAGAAAAATAGATCTTGTAGAAAAATAGACTTGTGTTCTACTATAACCTATTCTGTAACATTATATAGAACTATATATTTTTTTTCTCCCCCCCCCCCCCCCAAAAAAAAAACATGAGAAATTGTTAAAAACAGTGTAACCACCCAAAAGTTACCTCGAATAATTAACCCCTAATTAAGAATACGTAGGTGTGTCCAAACATCTGACTGGTAGTAACAGAAAAGACAGTTAAATTAAAACAATAAATCAAAATTTTTTCATTCTCACTCACATTGTTTGATACCTGATGGTGGACTAAGCATTGCCCTCTCCACAGGTCCAAGATGATCACCACTGCTGTTCAAAGGGAATGACGTGTCTTGCTCCACAAAAGAATCCTGAGATGACTTTTGATCAAACATGGACTCATTTGAAAAGATCTGCTGAGAACATGTGGCTTTGCATGTGTGCTCAGTCATTATGGATAAAACATTCACTGTGGTGGAGATGTCTTGTTTTTTAGACTCTCTATTGGCTCCTTGCTCTTGCTCAAACCTGATTCCAAGCATATTATCGATATACATGGCATGATCAGCATCTACTAACTCTTTTGCGAGATTTCGCTTTCCCGTGATAATGTCAACCTCCCATTGTGTCTCAGAAACAGGCTGTCTGAAACGGATCTGTAGGTTCCCATGACACATACAGTTCTGGAAGAAAACAATGGCATCATCAGACCAGTCCGGGCCATTGGGTTTCACTCCCCTCAGTAAACAATGATAGGTGACTTTAGGTAATCTACCGAGCTCCTCTGGAAGTCTTTTAAGCTGGCAGACATCGTGTAGGGACAAAACTGAATACTGCCCATAGTCAACCAAGTTTATGAGCACAGAAGTGGAATCGCACTGCACGATCTCGGCCCTGCACCATTTTTTCTTCTCCGCTGATTTCACCAAACAGCTCGCACCAGGAACAAAATCAACCTCCGGTAACGGCACCAAAACTTCGGAAAGGTTCTCAAGAATAGCAGAGACAGTATCTACAATCAAAAGCAGGTCTTCAAGAATGATGTAAAATTCAGATGGGGTTGTTACTGCAGCTGCAAATCCTTTGTATTCAAAGTTCATTTGGACAGGGGCCTGGAGTAGGGTCTGTGGTCGATCCAAACTGATCTTTGAAGAAGTGTCTGGGAAGGGACGATGGTCATCAACAACAAGCAACCCATCAGTACTTTCCACTGCCTCAATATCTTCCACATCCTGCAGAGCAACGCTAGCAGGTGACTTGGAGGTTTCATGATCATTTGCATTAAGTGTAGAAACATTTTCCTGCAACTTTCTTGAAGTTTTAGTCACTGGTATGCTTGTGTCACATGGTAGTTTGGAAAGAACCACGTCCTTAGGCTTTAAGTTATTTTGCCTCTTCTTGTACTTTCTATTCCAAAAGACATACGTCGGGAAGTAAAAGCCAGCTTTCTTAATTTGCTTTTTTGGAACTGTCTGATTGTTTCCAAGTTCACATTTGCGTTGTGTGTTTGACTTTGTCTTTTGCTGGTAGGTTCTAACTTCTGCATGATTCTTTTTGAGTTCACATTCGCGTTGTTGTGTGCATAACTCAGTCTTTTGCTGGAAGGTTTTAACTGATTTAGCCTTGTGGGAGTGAGAATCAGTTTGGTTTTCACTCTGGGACACTTTTGGCAATTTGTCTTGGCTAGACAAGACTACATCTTTGCTCTGATCACCATCATACTTTGAGTTCCCATGCATGTGGCCATCCTCAATCTTAATGCTCACTTCCCATGAATTTTCAAGCTTTCTAATTAATTCTACCATTAAAGGCTTGCCAACTGCTTCCTTGATAAAAGAGTCGTCGTTTTCAAAAGAGTAAGGTTTCGCAAGTGTGCACAGAGTGCTCAATCTGGGCTGAGACAAAAAAGTATTGGTTAGCATATGGACATTCTTTCTGTCGACAGTTGCAGGATTGCCATAATCAATAAACTCAACTGCTAAGCGGCCACAGTTTGAAACGTTGGTGACAACAGCTCTGTACAAAGCCAAGTCTTCTTCATACTCGGCGGCAACAAGGTCTCCTACTTTTACTTCGGTTGCCACATTTTCCATGTTATCCTTGAAGACAGTGCTGTTTAGTTCTTCACCCATTTGAAGGATGTTTGTTTCATCGTCTTCCATCTGGATAAAGAAGCTTTTAACAGAACTGCAATGAGAGATGAAGCCCACGCCGCGAGAACCTGGTTTCATTTTGACAGCAGGAAGATCACATAGTTTTGGCAAGTTCTTATGTGATGGCACTACTTTAAGAGAACAGGTAGTGTCCTGTAGTTTCTCTTTTATTGCTGCTTTATGTTGCGTTTTGGGAGGTTTTATGGGTTTCGAAGTTTGCTTATAACCCGCTTTAGTTTTACCACATCCCCTCTGTTTGGTGTTCACTTTACTGTTTAAAATGCAGACATCCGCTTCTTCTCTGTGGGAATCTAAAGCAGGTTTACTGACAGTCAGATTACGTTCTGCCACACTGCAAGTTGCCGTGAGCTCTCTGACTTTTTCATTGATGTGCACATTTCCATCATAAAGATCACAGACAAAATGTCCATTGTTGTCCCTTGACATAAACTTGGCCTGGAAGGATTTGTTGAGGATGTCAGTCTCAAGCCACATGTTGACTTCTGGCAAATGTTCCCCCTCTGGAACATTCAAAAGGCTGCATCTCAGAGCCTGCATTGGTGTCATCAATAAATCAATCGCTGTTTTGGGAATTGGTATAACATTAGTCTTTTCAGAAATTTGCTTATCACCATAATCAACAAAGAACACACTCACATGTTGATGAGATTGGACGGGGTGTGTCAGAGCCCTGTACCACTGGCCGTCACAGAAATATTTGGCCAGGCAAACATTACCGCTGCAGTTGTCAGATGTCGTAGTCAAGAGCTGACTTTCTTCAGCAACTCTCTCCATCAGCGCATCAAGGATCTCTGTATTCCTGTCGAGCTGAAAATAGATTTCCCAAGGACTGCAAACTTGAGTAACATGCACCAGTTCTTCGCTTTCAGAACTCAAGTTGAAAGATGAGTAAATGAAGGAACGAGGATACAATGATGAAATTAGCTGCTTTGGAGATTGCATTTCCACCGCAACACCTTTCTCTAAAAGATACGTGGTAGCCTGTTGATGAGGTGTATGAATGGTGACCACATAAAGGAGACCTTTTCCTTGCTCATAGAGCTGGGAAAGAACTCTGCATATACAGGGTGAATCCTCAGACACAAAATCCTTGAACAATCTGCATGCTTCTGAATTCCAAGAACTTCCTCCAACAGGTTCAATCAAGTTCAAACTACATCTAAATGCTTGTTCATGAAGTTCAAAGAACTGTGGTGCAAGAGCTTGGATGTTTTGCATCCTTTCCTGGAGAATGATGCCTAAGTCGACCAGGATCAAGCGGAGTTCCTCATTGCTTTTTCCTAATATGCATGCTCTATGCCATCGGTTATCCTGTGGAGACTTTACTGCACAACATCCTGCTGGCGTTTCAAGTGCAACTGTGTGCGTTTGGTAAAATGCCTGCATCTCTTCCATCAATTTGTCCAGATCAACTTTTGTGCTCTCATTTTGGCACCAAAAGTCAGATGGAGAATTTATATGTAAGAAACTGACACTTACTTCAGATCCAGGCTTGAAATGCATCGGTTTGAAAGCCTCAGCAGAAACGACCTTCAGTTGTGGCATCACATTTGGAGTACGTCTTTCAAGGTCATTCTGTTGTTCCCACTCTGGTTTCAACTGATTTGGATTGGGTGAAGAGGTGACTTTGCAAAAGGTCACCACATGAAGGTCCTTTCTATTTTTTTTCTTGCTCAGAGCATTTCCTTTGTCTTTACATGACTTCTCCGCTTCAACAGATGCTAATGCCGGGTTGTATCTCCAATCCAGGGCCATTTTTGCTGTTGTCATGATGTTTGCAATGCTATAGCTATTTTCAGCACCTCTCTCAAAAAGATCAACAACATATTTTGCATTTCTTCTGTGAATGGCATGAACCACCAAGGTTTTGTTTGATGTGACTTGCCTGAAGAAGTCGGATGCTGTGGTTGTCCAGATGTCCTCAAATGGAGCCACATGCGCTAATGCACATTTCAGTGCAAATTCTGGATGAATGGCAAACTTTGGGGGAAGCTTCTTTATTAATATGTTTGGCACCTTTTCAGTGTTTCCAAAGTCAATGAAAAACACCTCAGCTCCCTTTTCCAAAGTATCTACTACAATGGCCCTGTAGTAATGCATGTCTTTTTCGTACATTGCACAGCAAAGTGCACCAGGCACTGGGTCTTCAAAAACCTCCTCTTTCAACTGTAGTTTGGTGAAGTAATTGGTCATTTCTTTCGTCATGTTTTCAAACTTAGGATTTTGTTCTTTGGTCCTTATCCAGAAATGTTTTGGACTCTGGACATGCACAATATAGCCCTCAAAAATAGAACCATCAGGTATCGATTGACTAGAAACTGAATCAGAAGTCTGGACCGCTTTCGTTTCTGTAGCATACATCTTTGAAAGGATATTGTGGGGAAAGTTGGACTTGCTGTCAAAAACTTTTCCAAGGAGTTTAACTTTGGCTTGCTCCTCTGAGTGTTTCTCAGCAGTGCTCAATGTGACCAAGTAGAAGTTCTGATCTTTGCAAAAGTCATCGATTGCAACCTCTAAAGCTTTCCCCAGCAACCCGGTTTTCAGAGCCACTAGTTGTTGGTTTTTGATGGTCTCATCTGGTTCTTCCAAGCATGAAAGTGAACATGAGAATGCCATAATCGGTGTTGAGATTAATTCTGATGGTAGCTGCAAGATGTTTTCAACTTTCACAGATTCAGAATAGCCACTGTCGACAAACACAACTTGGACCTGGGAGTTGAGGGGAAGACATTGCACAAAACCTCTGTGCCATTTTTCATCTTTCCCTTTGATTGCACAGAGCAAGCCAAGATTTTCAAGTGGTTTATTGCTTGGGTAACCACTGACTGATTCACATGCACGTGCTAATTTATCTGACATTTCTTGAAGGTCCTTGTCTGTGGATGACAGTCGGCAGTAAAATAATCCAGGATTCACGGCAGCAGATACAACAACTCTTACTTTTTGACCAACTTTCAGCTTTGGGCCATTAAGTGAGAGAATTTCTTCAAAGCCAAGCAGGCTTGAGGATTTGAGACAACATTCTTGCCCTATTTGCTTTTCAATCAAGAGATCAGGGACAGATTCATTGTTTTGTAGAACTGGTTCCCCAATAAGAATCTCAACCAGTAGCAGAAATGTACTAGTGTCCACATGTCTCCCAAGCCTCATTTTTAAAAAGTCACGATTAATGTCCGGAACTTCAAGAATGAGGACATGGTATGGAAGACGGGCGTGGATGTATCCTTTGATTTGGCTGCCTATCAAGGAAGATAAATAGTTCTCTGTCAAACTGTCCCATCGGTTCTGGACTGGCAGTATATTGGCAAAGAAACCGCAGACAATCTTTGGTGGGAGCATTAGGAGTGTGTCAGATATAGACGACAAATGGCTGGGCTCAACAATCAACACATCTCCATGGTCTAGCAAAAACATGTGGAACAAATTGTTCTGTATGTTTTGGACTCTTCCTCTGTACCAGCGACCAGACGCTGCATCTTCTACCAGGCAAACTTCTCCAACCTGACCAGAAACTTTCGATTTCACAGCATTTTGAATTTCAACTTGAAGAATGTTGTAGTCCAGTTCACAGATAGTCATATATTGGCCCTGAAAGTGTATCAGTGTCTCCTCAGGACTACAGTCAATGTGAGTCAGCTTCAGCTCCACAGGCCACAAAACACATGGAGCAGGGAGCTTTGTCTCCTCTTTTGGCCTAAAAAAAATAAATAATAATTATGGTTACAAAACTTTCTCATATAGCGTCTGCATTCAGCAAATATGCATTTATATAATTTAAACAAGTCTTTGAATATCTAATAAACATTTAATTTCACAATCCTTGTAGCTGTGAGATCTTCTGAAGGCCCATTTGTAGACAATAGGGCTAGGACAATAAATTGATGCATCGTGAATTGAGAAATGATTCTGAATCGATTCTGAGATTTGAGAACAGCAGGTGGCACTGGCATTTAAAAATATATATATATTTATTTTTTATGTAGCAAATGCAAACCTCTATTGCATCTTGCCATTTTGATTTTTGTTTTTTATAAGTTGTAAAAAAAAAAAAAAAAAAAACCTTAATGAAATACAGTATTGTTTAGTTGGACTCTATTGGTCAAAGACTCGTACTTGACTAAGGTGGATTCGAACCCAACACTAAACGTGTGTACTCTGCCCCTGCGCAACTTAAATGTGGACAGGAGAGTTCAGCTGTCACTACAGACAAATGAACAACAAACTTTAAACCCTTGATTTCAAACTATGATGAGCTATATCCAGTTGCACACTGTCATATTCCAGTCATTTTCATTGTGTGATGTATATAAAAATGTGCTACCATGAAACTACACAACCCAATTTTTATATATAGGCATCTAGTGGTCACAACACAATAATGCATATAATATTAATAATTGTTCCCACCAAAAGGCCTGTCTGACTGCCTCCATTTATTGGCCCGCCATTGTTTCATAATGAACCAAAAATATTTTAAAACTTCTCATAATAACCAGGAACGTGTTTGGGAACTAGGGCTGCATGATATTGAAGTACAATATGTTATGCGATAATAATTATTTAATTTTATACTACAGGGCTGTTGAATGGTTGATTCTGATTGGTTGAGAAACGTTCTAAGGTGTGCAATTATTTTCAGGGAAACGCACGGCTAAAGTAGTTCAAGGCAGGTCTTGACCGCATTACAGTTCCATATCACTTTGCGTAGTTAACTGTAATAACGGAAAATAGGATACAATTCATAACAAGAAAAACATGCAGCCACATGCGCTTGATCTGCAATTTCCGATGTCTAACTTCACAATCGATGGACACATGCAGTTTAATTTTATAAAATAAAGTATATAGCCCTATATAGTCAATAGAAAATTAAACTGAATAGGTCTATAAATAATTGATAGTCCTGCTGCACGGGTTTTCGTAATTATTGCAGATAATAGGCTATAACAAATTAATAATTATTGATAGGCCTATACTTGTTAATAGGACGTTGTGTTTCATTTATTACTGTCAATATTAGGAAAAAAACATGAATGAACTAATTAAAATGAATTAAATTAATTAATAAATAATAACATTGAAGCACATGCTTCTCTCTCTCTCTCTCTCTCTCTCAGCGCGCTGTTCAGCCCGTTCAGTTTAAAATCTTCTGCAGTCGATGGAAACAGTCAGAGAATGTTTCAGCCAGTCGGTAAGTATGTCCATCATTAGTCTGCTATCAGTGCCTCAAACCTCCATTACTAACTCTAAAATGACGTTTTGAAATTAGCAACGGAGGCATGGGATTAGATGCGCAAGAAATTAGTCCTACATACAAGAGCGTTTTAATGACAAAAACTTCACAAACGTCTTGAAATACATCATTTGAACAATGTTTCGGGGTGTGGTAACTGCAGTATAAGCGGAATAATTGACTTCAGACCGTTGAATTATTAGAAAAAATAATGACAAATAATAACTCCGCTTCGCGTCGTGACCGCATTACCACCTCGAGTGTGCATTATTTTTCTAATAATTCAACGGCCTGTCGTCAATTATTCCTTACATAACGTTAAATAATGTGATATGATAATGCTTTAAGTGTGTAAAAAACATTTGCTGCAGTCCGGCGTTTTTCCTCTTTGTCGCCATCTCTGTTCGAAATCTCTGTTCGCGGAATTATCAACTTTACGCGAGTTGTACTTCAACACCCTCGACACCTCACAGCACGGAGGAACACAATGTTTGAGGAGAGTGTGAGGCTGTCAGTCACCGCGTCGGTGTGGATACTGTCATTCAGAATCACAGATTATTCTTTTTGGAAGTATGACCAACATAAGAATTTTCACCGGAAAATGTCATTTGAACTAGTAAGAAACATCCACCTTTGTTCTGGTTCTGACATTGCAGTAAATCGCGCTGATTAAATCTAACAATCGCTTTTAAGTTATCATATCACGCAAAACCCAGCAAATTATACTTTGTTCTCAAATTGTTAACAAACCGAACGATTCCTAGGACCATTTTTCTGCCGACAAAATCCGCGCTGGCGCGATCACCACAACGTTACGCAACATCAAATGGCAAACGTAATGAAAGCGGAACGAAACTGCGCTACTCATTAGGGGTGGTTAATCTGTCTGATTTCCCGATTCGATTACGATTATTGAAGTCCCGATTCGATTACAGTCGATTTTCGATTATTAACGATTCTCGATTAGCGATTATTGATTTTCCATTTCACAACAGTAAACGAAAAAACACTACAAAGTGATTGCAGTATTAAAAAAAGTCAGCTGCTAAATTACTTAACTCTTTTATTGAGTAACAACAACTCAAAGCACTTTCTGTGTCGTGTAGTTATAACTTCAGAATTATTTGTATGTAGCTTATGAACACAGAAATGAAATGAACTTATTATGAACACTAGAAGACAGAAATGAATACATCACATTGTGTTGTGACTCATCAAGTTGAAGGAAACAATAACAAATAAATGAAAGGCTTATTTCCTTTAGGAAGTAGATCAGAACCAACATACTGTAGAAATTGGACAATTTTCTTCTAGAAAGACAAGGTGTTGTTCAGGTGGAGGAAGACTGCAGGTTGCAGTCGAAACATGTCAAGGTAAATAAAAAGTTTATAATGCAAAAAAATGTTTGCATTATATGCGGTTAGAACAGCTGTCAGCAGCGCGTCCTCATCCATATCAAGCGCCTCGTCCCCTGAGAGGCGGCGGCAGCGCGGGCGGGAGCCGGCGGCTGCGAGTCCGGGAGAGGGGGCGGAGAAGGAGAGATAGACGCTCGAGGGAGTAATTCCGGCGAGCATTTGCATCAGAAAACGACAGCAGTGCAGCCCGCAGGGTCAACATCGGAAGTGCGTCGCTGAGCTCACAAACCCCTGAGGGCAAGAGCTGCGTGTTCCTGGCCCAGTCAGAGAGCGCAGATCACATGGCGGTCTCCGTCGCTGTGCGGGGCTCTGCACGCGCCGCAGGAAGTGCAAAGCATCTTGAAAAAGACGCTCGCTGCTCTTTTAGACAGTACGTTTTGCAAGAAAGGATCCGTCGCCGGATAGCATAGATCGCACGGATGGCTGAAGGTGGCGAAGACGGCCGGCTTCTTCAGGCGCTGTCTTGTCGCTTCCTCGACGGCGGCGGCGGCTTCTCTCTAGATCCAGCGATGCGGCAATAATAATAACGCAAATTTTTTTTTTTTAATAATAAAAAATCGATTTTTGAAAATTTAATAATCGATTCATAATCGTCCATAACATACTCGCGATTAATCAATAATCGATTTTTTTAACCACCCCTACTACTCATTATATTGTACTTAACGGACCATTTATCAGTTCGGACCAGCAACATCTGTGCAGCGCAAGATCAAGCGAAGAGATCCAGTGAAGAAAACATTTGAATTCGCCACTGAAGTAATAACATTGCTGCGAGATCTAGTGAGAAGCATTCAAATTTCTCCGTTATTAACCGTAGATCTCTATTAGATCAAACAGCGCTGACGTGGGAACCAGGAGGAACATTTTGCCGTGAATGAACATGGATTTAATGTTGCACTTCAAAATTCAAATATTATATAAATATATATTTAAATGTTATTTTTAATGTGATTACCAAAACATTATTTGTTCATCCTTCAATGATTAACCCCATTTATAAACCTGAAAGTTTCAAGATGTAGGAAAACTCAAACTTATATAAAAATATTTTTTCTTTTAATAAATAGGAAATTTCTCTGGCATTTCTTTCTTTTTGCTGTATCGTATCAAACCGAACCGCGAATTTTGTGAACTGTTACACCCCTAATGTATATATGTATATATATATATATATTCTCATTATTTTTTTTAAAAGACTTTTTATTTTTTTGTTTACATGCCTGCCGGGTATGTTAAGTTGAAGTGCTATTTGTTTTTATATTAGACTTTTTCTATATTTACTGTTGCACTAAAGTCCAAAAGTGAAGAATTTATGTTACTTATTACTTGATTGTTCAAGCTACCTCACAGAAGTGCTCTGTTTGTTAACAGTTGTTGAATGTTAAAATAAGGTGAATCAAATAAAAAATAAGGAATATCCTGGATCTGGGTTTTTTTCACTCTTCTTTATTCTTTTCTTATGTATTATATAAGTATCGGATCGGGACTCGGTATCGGTAGATACTCAAAATCAAATGACTCGGAGGCAAAAAAACCTGATCGGGACATCCCTATTTTTTTCTGTAAGTTAGCCTCTCCGAAGTCCGAACGAAGTCTTTTGCATTTTACAGCGGGTGAATCTGTTGTCACTGGTGATTGTCGTTTGAACCTTTCTGGATCCGCCATCAAATTGATAAGTTTAATTAAATCAAGTGCAGTGAGAAAAGGCTATAAATCTCCACCTCCAACATCCTCACACGCAATATAGCCTACTAGCCGAGACTCCTTCTTTATGTGTACAGATGTGACGTAATGACGCAAAGACATGCTCGAATCTCCCGCGGAAATCCACCAGTACCACTAAAATTAAAAACATTACAAGCTTACCGCTTTGAATCGAGCAAAGGCAAGCAGAGAGTTTTGAACACTGGCTGGTTATGTATTTTCTCAAATATGTATTTTGGATCATTTTTAACCCCAAAAAAGCTACGGACTGCAGCTTTAAATTATATTTAAATATATTAAAAAATGAAATTGATATAACCATAAATTATAATGTCTAGGGTTTAGGGTTTCAGGTAGGCCTACATTCGTTTTATTTAACAACAGCAATCGAATTAATCAAATATACAAAAAAACACTGCTTAGTTTTCACTGTATGAATTACATACTGATTCTTATTAAAGCTACAAAAATGATTTAGTCAAGAGCAGTGAATGATTTTCTATTTGTCTTTTGTTGTTTGATTAATATTAACCACACAGGCGGACGCAGGTTTATTAGACTGATGCCACTTTAATAGCTGCACGGATTTAATAAAGTGTTACACGCAAGCTTTCTTTCTCAACTGTTTAGTCCACTTAAGGCATAACTGACCGTGAACACTCACCAAGACGGGCATTTTGATATAATTTTGTGTGTATTTGACCATTTGAACCCCTTAAGTTAAAGCCATAGCCATTACATATTTAAAACAGTAATATCCTATACTAAACCTATGACAAACTATATATCATTTGAAAGCTTACAATCTGTAGTTTTCATATTTGGTGATTCTCAAAATAAATTACAGAAGAGCCGTAATCTATCAATTTGCAACAAGAATATTTTCATACTCCTAAGGCGTGTGACCTTTATTTTGAAATAGTGATAAACATGAAAATCATGAAAGAATGGTAGAAACCTCAGTTTGTTTTTATGCCAATAGTTCAGGGCTCTAGAGTGCGACCAATTTGGTCGCACATGCGACCAAAATTTGTAAGGGTGCGACAAGAATTTTTCCTGGGTCGCACCAGTGCACCTAACGTTCTCGCATGATCGCAATCGCATCCGCTGCCTCTCCACAAACGAGTCTTTTGTTCTCCTTGCACGCTTGGTTGGATCATATCGTGGTCTAAACCAATCAGAGATAGAGATTGGGTGGGTCTTTGCCTCTGATTGGTTGTGGTTCAGATATTCCTGTAGGACTAAAATGCTCCGTGCAGTGTGATTGAAATAAATTGCGACCTGTCACCTGAGCACCAGAGAATCAGTTACGGCAATCAGCAACATCAGCTAAATAAACGCAGGAAAACAGACGACGAAGAAACTTTTAAAAATGTAGGCTTTGAACTAGGTAAAAAATATTGATTTCTCGATTCTCATTGATTTTTACGAACCGTTGGGCTATCAGTTGATGAATGAATGGAACATTGTAGCGAGCATCCCATCCAATAAATCGCAATAATCTTTGTGCTTTGTTACTATTGATATGAAACAAAGTCTCAGATTTCAAATTAGGTCCATTTTCTTACGAAATTCAAAAACATAAATAGTGTATTGACGCTGTGGCGTGAGATCGCTCTGGCTCAGCTCAGCTCAAGAGAAGCAGCAGTGCATGATCTTCTCTTCCGCTTTAATAATACCAGTTACAGCGCGAAATAAACATGAACGAGCATCTGAAAGTGTGTTAAAAGAGAGTACAACTTATCGAAATCCGTATCATGTCACATGGAATCGCTCAATCAGTGTTTCAACCGTGGAAAGACGTCAGTAAAACGCTTGTAAACAATGTAATGTAACGCCACATTTACCTCAGAAAAAACATATCCAGTGCCCATAAACTCGTTAACTAGCTAGAAAAATTAACTCTAGTCTAGAGGAGCATTGTGCCTAATATATGCACCATATTACATATTCATTATAATTTATGTTTTTCAATATTTAATGCATGTTGTTTGAAAAAAATCTGGCAAGTTTTTATGCAGCCACCATTTAAATGTTTATATTTCATATAACTTTATTATTATAAAAAAAAGTGTAATTTAGGTGTTTGTGTACAAATCAGGTAATTTTTACCTTCAATATTATAGAAGGCTAATGAAGCATAGTGGGCTACAACTGACTCCCAGTTTACAGCATTAGTTGAGATTTGTTTTTCTTGAGAAAATTTGCCATGTACTGTACCTGATATCCAATATAATCAATATTGAATCGAATTGTAAAATTTGTGTCAATATCCTGCCCTAACTTGAACAATGTAAAAACAGCACTTTAATTTAAAAAAAAAAAAAGATTTATATTTTTATATACAGTATAATTGTGCTTAAAAACAAAACAAAAAAACTACACCTTATTCTTGTTTAAAAGCATTTACATAATATACATGAATATATGGAACGTGATAAAAAGGTGACCTTGAAATTGTGGCGTTAAAGGCGACACGAGGAAAAATTTGAGTGCACCTAAATTTTGTGCTGGTGCACCTAAATAAAAAAAGTTAGGCACACCAATGCAACCAAGGCAAAAAGTTAGTCTGGAGCCCTGTAGTTCAAAAGATAACATCCATTAATTTTTTTTTTTTTAGAAAAAAAGGTCTGAAAATGTTTTAAATATAAAGAAAACAATTATAGATTAACCATTTGCGATGCGGCAGCGAGCTATAACGCACATACGTGTTATTTTTATGTGATTGTTGAGGTTGAATTCATATCGAAATATGCCAAACTCCCCTTAGTACTTCTACTTCATAGGATGTCTACTTCATACATTGTATGAAAATTGTGGAAATAATGGTTCAGATCACTCAAAACACATATGGAAATAGAGACGCCCTTATTTTGGCAGTAATGGAGTCTGGTTGTGACCTAGTGAAAAAGTTTGGTACTGCGCCCAAACAAAATCTTACTGAAAGCTAATTTTTTGAGATATCAACCTAAAATTTGAAACACAACTTGTTCAGAGTTTTTGCTTTGATTTTCTTGCAGTTTTGGAAAAAATATATTTTATATAAAATATGAATAATTAAATTTTTACATTTTCATTAACTCAAACTTCTTAATTCACTTTCTTAATTTATTTAACTTCTACAAAAATCTGCCAAATGTCTTCTTTACAACAAGACCAATCTTACATCTATATTCCAAAGCATTCTTGAAATACAACAATTTAAGTTCGGATTGTGCATTTTCATGTTTATTCAAAAAAGGGGGCTCGCCACTTAAAGGGTTAGTTCACCCAAAAATGAAAATTTGGTGGTGTAAATATAATTATTTATAGGAACAAGTGGTCATACATGGCATGTGGGCTTTAAGGTTACACCACCTTTAGAAGCATTTTAACAATTCTGTTGGGCATTTTTTTTAGATCATGCCATTGATCTTATACATACATAAACATGCATAAATCATTACTTCTGCATGTGAAAATATTCAAGTGAATGGATCATCGGTTAAGTGTTGCCAAGTCCGAGGATTTCCCGCGGAATCGTGCTACTGAACAAAGTTCCCGCGGGTTGTTTATCTAGGTGCAAAGTTTCTGGATGCAAGCTGTCGTAAAAACCCTTAAACCGCCCAGTCTAGTCCGCGGGTTTAAGAGCTAGGTAGAAGTTTGGGTAAGTTTTGGACGTGATTTGGATAAGATTTGATTTGCAATAGGCGGGCTTTGTTATGCAGACCTGGCAACCCTGCATCGGTTATTCAGTCAAAGCCTTACCTCTCCATTTGACTCGAAGGCATTTGAATCCAATCTAACCATGCAGTCCTGGTAAATGTTCAAGTACTGAGCACGTCAGCCACAGCTTGGGATGATGGAGGTCAACACACTAATAAAACAGCGTTAATACAAATCATAACGTTAATATATGGACCGAAATACCTGCAATAGAGTCATATTAGATTGTAACGTGATTTAGGCTATCAGAATTGCACGGTCATGCAAGTAACACTTGATGATTCTATGATTTACATTTTAATACAAAAACTATATCCATAAACAGTACGGCAGTTCATCATTTATGAATCATTTAAGCAGTATTTTCTGAATGACACAACTGTCGAATCTGTCGACATGACAGATTTTCGACTTCATATGTATTTGGGTTGAAAAGTAGTTTTCTACGGTGTTTTTTTATGAATACCGAATACATTAAGTATTATTTACAGACAAAGTAGTTCTTTTGTCTGTAGCATTTATAAATTGAGTAGTTGTTTTTGCATTAGTCTCTGACAAAATTATCTTACCCTCTCGCGCATCATGTTTTCTGCAGAATACGCGGCCTTGGCACGTGCTGTAAGAGGAACGCTAAGCTGTAAACTCGTGGGCCAATCAGGAAGCGCCTAGCTACACATTCAAAGAAATTTTAGAGGACACCGGGGCAAGTTGTCACTCGGGTAGGTTGCCTGGATCTCTATAACTATTTGGCTTTGGATTCATGTCCAATTAAACAAATGTTTGTTTTCAAGCTAGTTTCATTGCTACTCTTGGGTGAACAAGTTAACGTAATAAAAGCAAAATAAATTTTAAAAATTATATTAAAATGCATATGAAGTTAAGCATATGAAACATTATTATTTATTATGTTTTTTATAAATACAGGAAAAAACTACTATTGTGAAATATTATTTCAATTTAAAATTATGGTTTTCTATTTGAATATACTTTAAAATATAATTTATTTCTGTGATGCAAAGCTGAATTTTCATCAGCCATTACTCTAGTCTTCAATGTCACATGATCCTTCAGAAATCATTCAAATATGCTGATTTGATGCTCAGTTATTATAATGTTGGAAACAGTTGTGCAAATTTTTTTAAACCTGTGATACTTTTTTCAGGATTTATTTGATGAACAATAAGTAAAAAAGCATTTATTTAAAATAGAAATATTTACTATCAATTTTTAATCAATTTAACACATCCTTGTTGAATAAAAGTATTACTTTAAAAAAGAAAGACAAAAAAATGACCTACCCAAAACCTACAAAAGTTTTCTATTTTAAATAAATGTTTTATTTTTTTATTTTTTTTTTATTCATCAAAGAATAAAAATTTTCATCAATGAAAAAAGTATCACAGATTATAAAAACATATGTTTTGTGGCAACATTAAAAAGTAATCCTAATGACAAAAATTACTTAACTTTACAAATTTACTAAAACTTTAACTAAAATTAAAATGGCAAAATGTAAAAAAAAACACAAAAAAAACCCAAATTCAATATTTTAATAAAAACTATAATAGTATCTCAGTAATACTAAAAATAAAAATAAGCTGAAGTAAAGTTTTGCTAATTTGTATCCTACCTTTTACATTTGTTTCTGACTCATGTATTGTTTCGTAATTGTTTTCTAAATGTTTTACTTTGAAAATCCTATGATAATCTGTTTAATTGAAGCAAGGTTGCTATAACGGGGCACGTTGTCACAAAATGTCAACACTTATACAGACATTACAGTCAAACTGTCCCACAACAACTCAACTCCTAAAACTTTTAGATGAATAATATGCTTTCATTGTCCAGTTTTTGTGTTTATTTGTCCATTTTACAATTTTCCTCTTATTTCCATGCTTCAGATATGGCGTTTTAAACTCTGCCTATATACAAGGCCAGCAGAATCTTCTCCTCACTATTACAGATGAAACCAGCAAAAAAAGTTCCAGAAAATAGTGTGTTAATGGATGTAAACGAAAGGGAAAAGTATAACATTAAGGAGGCTGGCTCTGATTGGGTCTATAGGCGAGCTGCAAGATTTCCAGATTTCAAGGAGATGATATCCCTCTAGGTTAATCATTAAATCCCAGAATCCATTGCCAGTCTTCTGTAAATAAGATAAATGGCCCTAAGGCACTCACCTCTGTGACGCACCATTTCAGAGAGAGCAGAGCTTTAATTAAGACTGGAAGGTGTTATCTTACCCATTCTTGGATTAATGAATTTTTACAGGATTATTGTTATATTTCAGCTGCTATTTTTAGAGTTTCCATCGTGCTACAGGTTTATTTTGTGAGCATTTGTTTCTAGTGAGGAAAGAGGAAAAGCAACACACATAGTTGACAAATTGTTTAAATGTTGTTCTTTTTTTGGGATGCTTTGGAGATGTGTATCATTTCAGGAATGGATATATGCATCACTTTGCCAAACGTGAGAATGGGCCGCGTTGATTTTGGAATGTTTTAACAATTTAGGTTTTGAGGGGCTCTATTTTTTTTCCCATTATTTCACTTGGTTTTAATTTTGCATTCCAGTTTTTCTTTTTTGATTTCTCCTTGAACATGCCAATGAAAAGAAATATAGGGAGTCCTTTGAAGAATGAGACGTTTCATCAACTACAAGCGTCGCAGACAAAGAGAGCTTGCAAAAACGCAGATGACCTCCACGCGACAATTCATGTTGACCAAGACAATCTCGGAAAGAACATGTTTTTCAAAGCCAGGCTTGATGAGGAGGAGGATTCTGGCATTAAATCAGGTGGGGAAAAATCATCTTTGTTGTAAATTGTTTTCAAACTTGCTTTGATTAAACTAGTGCTATGCTTTCTTTCAATGCACAGTTAGAAATTCTCAATCTGTCGCCAGTTTGTTTTGCAATTATACGTTGTGAATAGTTTTGGCACACGTCACCGTTTGAAAGCTATGTATGTTATTCATTTGGCAGAAGCTGATGAAAGTAATGGAAGCATTTCCTCTGAAGAGGACCTGGGCCACCTGGATTTTTCTAAGACGTTCTCTGTCAAACAAACGGTGCCAAAGAAAAGTATCAGTCAGATCATCAAGGACAAGAAGAAACAGACTCAGCTTACTTTACAATGGTACTCTCTGATCAATTCTTCTTTTGAAAATGAAGCTTGCCATTACAAATAATCTACAAAAAGTGGATGATATTATTATAAGCTTGCGTTTTGCTTTTTCTATTAGGCTTGAGGAAAACTACATAGTTTGTGAAGGTGTTTGCCTGCCACGGTGTATCCTTTACGCTCATTATTTAGACTTTTGTCGGAAGGAGAAATTAGATCCTGCTTGTGCTGCCACTTTTGGGAAGGTAAGAGGAGTTTTTATATCTTCTGTTATAATACAGACAGTTATAAGTCTCTGTGATAAGTATTATAATATCCGATTTCGAAAACAGATACCGATTGCACCGAAACCTATTGCATTTTCGGTGTATTTTAGTTCATCTTTAGGATTAATACCTAAAAGGCTGTGCTTCCCAAATATGTACATTATCAGTTATAAATAGCTGTTGATCTTGTATTTACAGTACATGGAGATCGATCTTACGATGTGTTAGAGTTCTAATGTTATCATTTCAGACCATAAGGCAGAAATTTCCTCTGCTTACAACACGAAGGCTTGGAACCAGAGGCCATTCGAAGTAAGAAAGAGCCACATGGCCCGGTCACTGACTGAAAACTTTATTTACTCCTATTTAATAATACTTAAATGCCTAAGCTAAAGCTCTTGACAGTGTTTGTCCTCTGAATGTTTTTCAGGTATCATTATTATGGTATTGGAATCAAGGAGAGCAGTGCGTATTATCACTCTGTGTACTCAGGAAAAGGTTTGACACGGTTAGTTTTGACCTTCATGCCTTCAATTCAGCATCCAATCATAAGTCCTTGAATGTTTTGAATAATCACATGAAAGGCGAGTGATTTTGCAATGCCCATGCTGAGACACATTATATTTTTCAAAGTTATTTTTCATTTCGGTTTTTAAATGCTCTTATGTGTTTTGCACAGATTCTCTGGAAGCAAGCTGAAAAATGAGGTGGGCAGTCTTACTATATATATATATATATATATGTGTGTGTGTGTGTGTGTATAGGACCATTCTAGTTTGGGGTCAGTCATTTTTTAAATGTTTTTTAATGTTCTCACCAAGGCTGCATTTATTTGATAAAAAAAAAAAAACAGTAATATTGATAAATATTCTTAAAATTTAAAATAACTGTTTTCTATTTTAATAAAATAGAATGTATTCCTGTGATGACAAAGCTGAATTTTCAGCATCATTACTCCAGTCTTCATTGTCACATGATCCTTCAGAAATCATTCTAATATGCTGATATGGTGCATAAAAAATATTTCTTCTTATTATAAATGTTGAAAACAGTTGTGCTTCTTAATATTTTTGTGGAAACCTTTAATAATTTTTCTCTGGCATCTTTGATAAATATGAAGTTCAAAAGAACAGCATTTATTTAATAAATCTTAAATCTTTTGTAATATGGATGTCTTTAGTGTCACTTTTGATCAATTTAGTGCAAAGTATTAATTTCTTTTAAAAAAAACATAAGTCTTTTGTGGTGGAATGTATGCTTGCAAAATGAGACTTTACATACATTCCATATACATATTTAGAATATGTTGTAATGTGTTTCTATCAACAACATAGCAGAATATGATATAATATTACTTATATTCCGGCTTCTTATTTTTTCCACAGGGAGGATTCACCAGGAAATACTCTCTTAGTTCTAAAACAGGAACTCTTTTACCAGAATTCCCAAGTGCACAGCATTTAGTGCTTCAGGAGTCTGTTTCAAAAGAGAAGGTCTGTTCATTTCAATGGAAACCCATTCCAAAATGCTGTTTATATGTACCGCTTTTAATGTACTTACCTCAGATTCTGCTATGCTCTTTATTTTTTAGGTCGACACATTGATAATGATGTACAAAACTCACTGTCAGTGCATTCTGGATAATGCCATTAATGTCAACTTTGAGGAGGTGCAATTTTAAGCTCTTAAAGAATCTCTTGTCATCATATCTAGATTCTAGAAAAAGATTCACTGTAATCAATCCCATTTGTTCCAGATCC